ACAGAGCAGACATACTCCAGTCTTCTTCATTGTAGGTCTCTGAGGTAGGTGATTCCATGGAAGTTAATGGGCTTCTCTGCTCTCCATTTATTTGGTGTGTAAAAGACACACTTTGTGTATGTGTTGCTTTGAGGAGGGCTGTAAAATGTAGGTAAGAAGACCTACTTTGTGTATGTGTTGCTTTGAAGAGCAAATGAAGATTTCTGGTGGAACACTCTGGAGACAGCTTTGCAGGCAGTCAGGATCTGGTGAGTGTGAGACAGGGTTTTCATGGTGATAATTACCCTTCATGGACAATCAGAACAGAATTTCACTTCGGAAAATAAAGTTAATGACCAATGTTAGCACAACAATTTTCATTAGTACAGACTTTCCTGAATTTGGTTAATCCCATTATAAACCATGACACCAACCTAAGGAAGCAGGGTAAGAGGTAGTCCTTATTCTGAAATCTTTGTTAGTGGAATCTTTGTTAGTTTCCTGTAAGTTCAGTTAGTCTCAACCGTATCAGTTAAAAGTCTTGAAATGCTAAAGTAGATGCCATACTAGCCTTGATCTGGTAATTGATAACAGTTCACAGACTAAGTGAATGAAATACAATCACCCCTTTCCTTGTTTATGGACATTTTGTGACATACTAAAATGACAAGTGAAGTTGTAGAAAGCACAGAAAAATAAATTTAGAATCAGAGACATAAAATTCAAGCATGAGTCACTGGAAAAAGCAAAGGCCCCACAAACTATGAATAGTGAATGGGCTAAACACAACTTTACACAAGACCAGCCCATATGACTTGAATTTTCCATAAGTAAAATCAACTGTAGTTCTTTCTCTTGGCTATGATGTGAGACTGAATTTCTTAAGAAAGACTGTGAGATACCACAGGGAAACAGAGCCCTCTGAAAGACAGTGTGTCTGCTGAATTCAAGACCATTTATCTTAATAATTCCAGAGAGGCAGCTCACTCATTAAATATCTTCATTAATTCAAAGTTGCCATATTCCCACAGCAAAGGAACTCCTTTTCATTCCGCTTTTCCCCCAAACTTAACTTTTTATAACAGGGAAACACACTAATATTGGAAAAAGAATTTTCAAACCACATAAGGATGTCTGCATTCAGCAATGGTGGTTGGGCAGGTTCCTGGCAAGACGACGAAAACACACTAAATAAAATAAACCTACCTAACTCCCAGTGGCTGGAGAGGACACAAGAGGAGAACCTTTTACTGCCATTTTCCTAAACCAATACACTTCCTAAGTGTACTCTAAATACTGATCTTTATACCTACCTCATCAAAGAGGCAATTACAAAGATTCACAGATAGTCAAAATAGAGAGAATAAGTGACCCCAACAGATATATGTACAGAAGAGGGGACACACGGTTGAAGAACATGAGGAACAGCATGCTTGCTATAAGATATGTCTTCTTGCCCTGAAAGGGAGGCTGAAACTATGGAGAGTCAAGAAGATATTTATCTAAAAAAGACATACATAATAACAATACTCACTGACGTGCCAATATGGTTGGGAGAAATCTCACAAGACCTCACCTAGATGAAGAATTACAGGCTGAGAGATGAAGAACCAGTTTTCTCCAGAGATGAGTCCTCTAATAGGTTATCCAATCTCAAGTGGTCAGTCTTTAAACATATCTACATAGCAAAGGAACTTGTCCATGTATGTGAGCCAATAATGTGAGCAAAGCATACATAGGAACACTAAGTGAATGAAAGAGAGAGAGAGAGAAAGAGACAGAGAGGAAGAGAGAGAGAATAATAATTAAAGAATGTGTCATTAATTTGAGAGGGAGTCAGTGAGAGGGGATACGGGGAGTTGGAGTAGAGAGAAAGAGGGGTGGAAATGATGTAAATACAGTACTTAGGTATGAAATGATAAAAATAATAATTAATTTAAAATTCTGTTTCAAGGCAGCAGAGGGCAACAAGGTCTAAGAAGGAAGCAATACCAGCAATGTGGCCTGCCCTCAGATGCTTTTGTTCTTCCTCTGGGATACTTCCAGTGCTGAAATAGCTGACAGGCTGAAAACCTGCACAGAGCTAAGGGACAGAAGTCAGCATGCAAGGAATGTCAAGGAATAGAGGTCCTGCTAAATTCACCTGGCTGGAAGTGTAGCTCTTTAAAGAACCTACAATTTCTGGCATAAAACAGAAGGGCCTTCAGGAGGCTACTATTGAATCAGCCTTGTTTCTGTTCAAATTCAACTGTTTTGTTTTTATGTTAAAACTAAAGAAAACCTGCTCTTTTAGAAGAGTCAACATTCAAAGATTTATGTTCTAAAAATCTAGAGATAATGTTTAGCATTAGTGAGAAAAACCTTATAAGAGATATGCCAGGACAAAGGGATTTACAAGGAAGTCAGGTGTTGGAGTTTTAAGACACAAATTGGAGAGAAAATGTTTAATTAGAAGCCTGGGGATTCTGTTGGGTTGGCTATGAGATAAAATACAATCATTTCTGAGCGAGAAAAATGGAAAGCACCAGAGGAAGTTAATGAGACAGATGTTAAGGTTTTAAGAGTTAAAATTGAGAAGAACTGAACTCTGGGATCATTCTTTTTCCTGTTATGTCAGAATTATGTGGATTCAACAGGAAATGCAGATCCCACCTGGATTTGACTGTTTAATTTTTCATAAGTATCACAGAATAAATCTTTTACTAATAAAACATAACCATGTTGACTCTAATAAACTAATGCAATTATCGTTCCATCAATTTGCTCTGACTTCACTTACAAGTTACTATTAGAGCCATCACTAGACCAGAAATTAATTCTCATCATTGAAATTCAAAAAATTAGAACTTGATCTAAGTGCACAAAGCAAACAATATGAGGAGTGTTTTTAAAACTCTCAAGAAAAAAGCCAGTAGATGGGTGAATAGTTTCAAATTGATTTCAACTTGGTAAAATTTAAGAATAACTGTGAGTTAAAAAGCATAATGGAGAAGCCTAGATACATCAGCTGTGCCTATAATGTGAACAATACACAAGGGAAAACCTATCTTTCAAAGTCACTGAGAGTGTGAGTACTTCATTGGCTCTCTGTTTGTATTCTATAAAACAGAAATATTTCATTTATTTCTACAAATGAAATTCATCAACATTTTCATTCTTAATTTTCCAGAGCTAAATTAAATTCCATCCCAAATTCTCTCATAGAGGCTACCTGCAAAGGGAAGAAGAGACTCTTGACTACAATTATCTCACATGAAGAGAGGTGGCAGGCAAACCGTTAAGTACTAGCTAAGAGCTAGCTTCCATGTGGGGCTCTTTTTTTCTTATCTGCAGCTATTTATAATTAAAGAATGCAAGATTTCTATCTAATAAATCATAATTAGTAGAGAAATATGCAGGATTTCCTTGGAGAGTTCTCATGACTCCAGAGCCAGTAGGATCTTACTATAAATACATTACTGTACCTAGACAAAGACCATATCATAAAAATATTCAGTTCAAGTGGTATTATTACAGAAGCCATTATAAATAAATATTGATAATACCCCAGGGAAATCTTGTCTAAGCACATGAGAACAAGACAACTTTAGAAGAAGATACATTCTTATGGTAAATAGGATGTGCCTAAGTATTCCTTAGCATCACAGAACAGCTTCAAAATTGTTCTAAAGCTCAGAGAGGGTAAGTACATCCATCACTCTAGATTAGCTTAGTTTGAGTGGTAAAGTCAGGATTCAGAACTGTAAGACTGTCAACAAACTGCCACAAGAAGGTTATTCGCATGCCCACATCCACATCCCTACTTATTATTAAAATAGTCAACATGTCAGTTTTATAAAGTCTACTTGGTTTATCTGGGCTGTTACAAAGTGATCATCTGTAAGTCTTATACTGCAATAGACATTTAGTTTTCACAGTTCTAAAGGTTAGGAAATGTAGGACCAGAACACCAGAAGATTGTTTCTGAGGGTGGCTTTATTATAGGCACAGCCCCTTTCACTGTCTCCTTCACCTGGAGGGTAGGAATGAGCGCTCCCTGTGGGCTCCCTGCAAACCTCTGCACCACTATCTGGGGAGTTACTGTTTTAATATGTGAATCTGAGACAACACAAATATTCAAGTCCAATGTAGGAGGCAGGCATTAGTATTTCTCTTTCAAAAACCAAAGCCAATCCCCTTTAGATACTTTTCTTCTCAGAGTCCATTCATTGTTACAGTTGCTCGTGCCTTCAGCAAAGAGCTTTTGACATGACCCAGGCACCCAGTCTCCTGACTTCCTCTTATCCAGCTATCTGTCACACCATTCTTTCACCAGGACCCTCACATCAGCTTCTCACCATTTCTACTACATACTGACTTCATACTAACATCTTCACTCTCATTCTTTGTGGTGTAACCTGATGAGCACAGCAGAGGTTCACCCAGAGCCCGCCCATACCTCTCCTGAGTAGGCAGGGAGGAGGGACAACTATGAAAGCCTAGAGCTGGTTTAACCCATAGTGCTCTTGCAGATTTGGGGTACCCTCTGTCTCCCATTCTCAAACATCTTCTTTGACTGATGAGCTATGAGCAAACCTTTCAAACTGGCAACCGTGGACCAAGTCCATTACTATTTACTCTGCAACAAGGAAGTTTTTACATAGGCTCCTATACCGGAGAGAGTAGGTTACAGATAACCATTTGAAGAATAGTGACCTTTATGAGTGTTAGAATCATAACAGAGAGCACCATTTTAAGTATTTTCTCATAAAAAAATTACTATTGACCTAAAATATAATGTACTTTTAGAAAATTCTACTTTTTTGAACATAAACGTTTCTGAAGATAAAAAGATATTACACTGCTTTTTTTAAATTATGTATTTGTATGTCTTACCAAATACTATCTCTTCAACATTCTTTGCAAGATTAATTTTAAGAAAATATATCAATTCATATGAACACTTTTAGAATATTTTCCTTTCCAATATTTTTTGGTGACACAGAGCCAACCTTCTGTTTTATCCTGTAGGCCTAACTCACCTGTCAAACAGTTCACCTCCTGTGACGAGCTCCAGGACCAGACTGATCTCCGTGGGAGTTTCAAATATTTCCTTCAGTTTTATCTAAAAGAGAGGTGCATATTAAGAAAGAACACCAACAAATGCTCACTCCCATCTTCCTTCAAAGTGTCTAAAATTATGGACAAAGCAATAGCTTGCATTCCCAGTGTGCTGGGCCCAGTCAGTGAAGGTCACCCATTCTGGCATCGGGCAGACTCTCATTAGGCCCATCTCTTTCCCAGTTGTTGGCTTTGTGAGTTAGTTACCTCACTTTTTTCAGAAGTGCATTACGTTTTGACATTTTTTTTCATTTTGAAGTAACTCCTTTAAAACACTTCCAAAATTTGCTCAAAAATTGCAATATTTGTGTGTTTTTTCTAGAATCAAAAGCAAGACCCAACTTTACAGAACTGTTTGAAAGCATCAGGGATGCTAGAGTCCAGTGACACTCTTTCTTGGAAACCATGGATTTGGAGATAGGGTGTGAAGCAGGATGGGCTGCATCAAGTCTGGGTGTAAAAGGGTTCCTCAGCAGTTAAAGAGCCACCTGTCTGTGAGCAGTCCTTGGAAACTGATGGACTATACAAGGGTTTCATTGCATTCAGATCCAATCAAATGTGGACATTTCTCCAGACATTGGGGGCTCTGGACGCCAGTGCTGACCCACATGTGATGAATGCTGCACACTGACTTCCTTTGAAAGAAGAGGCATGGATAATGCAAAAGTGATGACTGAGTATGACATGCTTGAGATTTGCTCACTCAAAGTAATCCCATACTTCACTGCATACTGAACTCTGGTGCCTGGTCCCACACTGTGGATGACAGTGGCCTAAGCCCCTCACATCAGCAATCTTGCATGCAGTTCGGGAGCATCTGTAGCTAGCTCTGGCCAGTGAAGTTTGATGAGCAAGCTGCAGTAGCTTCTGAAAACTTTTCTCACCTGACTCTGCTGACCAGGCCCTTTCTATTTCTCCTTTAACTATTAACCTGGGGATTTATAAAAATGTGAAGTTGCCATTACGGGGCCATGAAGACAAAGTGCAGGGTTAGAAGTCAATGCACCAAGGAATGGAAAATGGCAGACACAGAGATGTTTGAAGCCTGGATCCTGAGTCGAAACCTACAGTCCACCTTCTCATTCATTTTAAAAGAAGTATTTGATGGTGTGTAGCTCAGTGCGCCTTTAACTCATGTATTAAGTTGAATGCACTTTGCTTTGAGCATTGCAGAACATCATCCCAGACACAACTTTGTCACACAAATAGGTTTTTTAAAACATTAGGTAGATGGTTTAATTTGTAAAATCAAATTGCTGCTGTGAAAATGATTTTGTTTTTTTTTTTTGTTTTGTTTTGTTTTGTTTTGTTTTTTCACTTCATTGATTCCAAAAAGCTTTTCTGTGGGCATTTTTCTCAAAGGCGTCATCTGGACAGACAGCGGTGTCTGGAAATCATTTAGTCCTCCCATTCATGAACATCATTTATTTGCACGTTTGCATTATTTCTGAAGCACATGCTCTCTCAAAAGCTGAAAGGACTTTGGAAAGCAATGTCTTTTCCTTCACAGGCCTTATCAGCAATGGCATATTAAAGAGATAGGCAAACAAAAGAAGAAGAAAGCCAGTGTTTTGTTAGAGTGAAATAAAATTCTCCAATTTTTCGCCTTTTATGTATGAAAAGAGGAGTGGTAGGTATTGTCAGTCCATCTATTCTGAAGCTGGTTGTCTGTGCTGAGGTACGGCCTTGAGTGAGGCTATACTGCCTGACAGAGAGGAAGACCCCTCCTCCCCATCAACACGGACAGGGAAGGACAATGACCCATTCTACAGCTCTAGAAATGATCTGATATAGTAAGGTAAAAGGCACTTACGATGTTCGGGTGTGAGAGGCGCAGAAGAACTCCTATCTCGGTTCTTACAATCTTTTTGTCCACCTAGAAGTTTAAAATAAAAAGGAAAGGGCTCCAACTTAGAAAAAAACTGACTGTGCCAGAAATGAGACACATCTTTAGCCAACTGGGTAAATAAAATGATTGGAAAAGTGTTATCCCTCTATCTGTCTCTGTTTGTCTCCCCCCTCTCACACACAGTCTCATTATGCAGCTCAGAGTGGTCTGGAACTCTTGAACCTTCACCCTCCTTGGTGCTGGGGTTAAAGGTGTGTGCTGTCACAACTGATGCTTTTCTCCTGATCTTCCCCCCTTCCTTTTCAGCTGGGTACACCAGCTCCCTGCTTCAGAGACAAAGTAGATCCGGTAACTAATGGAGCATACAATCTGCAATAGATTTTGCATGTTGTCTGCCCCTTTCCCTATCAAAAAGTCATCATAATCAACATTATTATTAAACTGAGTAAATCTCAACCAGTCCCTGAACTTTTTATTTTCATTGATAGATGTCTCACCCATCCTCTTAGAACGATCAACCACTTCACCCACTTCTTCATTATAGAGGTGCCAGTAATTCACCCTAAACCATGTATACTGTCCTGTGGAAGGGTGGCAGCATCAGGGGTTCCTGCCGGAGCCAAGTCACCTCACAATGTCCTCCCCAGAAATTGCATTAAAATAACCAAGAAAATTTCGTTTATATTTGGAATTATGGGAGCAAAAAGAGTGTCCCTCATCCAGTACCTGATTGAAGCAGAAGCAGAGACCCACAGCTAAATACTGAGCTGAACTCCTGGAATCCAGTTGCAAAGAAGGAGGAGTGATGAGTCAAGACCAGGCTGGGGAAACTCACAGAAACAGCTGACCTGAACAAGGGGAAGCTCATGGACTCCAGTCTGACAGCTGGGAAACCAGCACAGGACCCCTGAATGTGGAGTCAGTTAGGAGGACTGGGCAGTCTATGGGGCCTCTCTGATAGTGGATCAGTAAGTATTTGTCACTAGTGCACAAATGGACTTTGAGAGCCCATTCCACATAGAGGGATACTTTCCTGGCCTAGACACAAAGGAGAGGGACTAGGCCCTGCTCCAAATGATGTGAAAGACTTTGAAGATCTTGAAGATCCCCCATGGAAGGCCTCACCCTCCCTGGGGAGTAGAAGGGGGATGAGATAGGGGATTGGTGGGGAACAGAGGAAGAGGGAAGGGAGAGGGAACTGGGATTGGCATGTAAAACAAGATTGTAATATAAATAAAATTTTCAAAAAAGAGCAGACTCCACTGATACCAATGTCCAATTTTTATACTGTATATCAACATAAGGAAAAATTATTGAGATATGAAAAGAACTGCCAATATCACCTAGTTCTTGTATTGTTATATATAGATTCATTTAGTCTTTGAGCCTTCTAATTATATGAGCCACAAAATGTTCTTTCTTCTTGTAATCCAGAGTTAGTTTCTATTGGTGGTGATTAAGAGACCCCCAACACAGTGATTCTCAGCCTATTGGTCACAACCCCTTTGGAGGGATCACAATTCAGATATCCTTATATCAGACATTACATTATAACTCATAATTATAGCAAAATCACACTTATGAAGTAGAAATGAAAACAATTGTTTGGATGGGGGTCACCACAACATGAGAAACTGTATTAAAGGGTCACAGCATTAGGAAGGTAGAGAAGAAATGAGCAGGTTCATCATGTAACATTTTGGGAACAATATTCATTGAATTTCTCATCTGCAAAATGAAAGATGTTCCCTATTTGTATGTTCAGGATTAGTCACAACAAATGAGATGGGAACAGAAGCAGACACCCACAGCTAAACACTGAGCCTAACTCCTGGAATCCAGTAGCAGAGAAGGAGGAGTGATAAGAAAATGGGGTCAAGACCAGGCTACAAAAACCCACAGAGACAGCTGACCTGAACAAGGGGGAGCTCATGGACCCCAGACTGATAGCTGGGAAACCAGCATTGAACCGACTCAGACCCCTGAACGTGGGTCTCAGTTAGAAGGCCTGGGCAGTCTAAGGGACCTCTGACAGTGGAACCAGGATGTATCCCTGGTGCACAAAAGGACTTTGGGAGCATATTCCCCATAGAGGGATACTCCCTTAGCCTAGAAGCAGGAGGGAGGGCCTAGTCCCTACTCTAAATGACTTGAAAAATTTTGATGATCCCTCCTGGAAGTTATCACCCTCCCTGTGGAGTGGGGGAGTGGATGGGATGGGAGAAGGGTTGGGGGTATGGGAGATAGGGGGTATGGGAGGGAGAGGGAACTGGGATTGATATGTAAAATAAGAGAAAATAATATATATGTATATATGCATATACATACACACACATACACACACACACACACACACACACACACACACACACACACGTGGAACTTAGGGGAAAAATGGCTTATTTAAGTTACACTTCCAGGTGACAATCCATCACTAAAAGGAATCAGGGCAGGAACTAAAACAAAAACAGAAGAACCCATAAAGGAACATTGGCTCTTTTGCTGGCTCAAGCTCAGCTAAGCTCACATCTACAGCCCAAATCCACCTGTCGAGGAATGGTGCTGCCCAGAGCGGGATGAGCCTTCCCACCTCAATCATAAGTCAAGATGATCTCTTGCAAAATAGCTACAGGCCAATCTGACTGAGGCAGTGCTTCCATTAGGTGACTTAAATATGTGTCAAGTTAACAACAAACACTAGGACAACCATCAATACTACAAAACTGAAATGTGTTCTACTGACATTGGATGGATGGCAGCTGGCAACTCAGAACACTTATTATTGTATGTATGAATATCCCACACAACAGTTATAAATTCTGTCTGGAGAGGCATAGGGAAGATATGATCTGTCTGTCTTCATAACTGACAGTTAATACAGGCAATAACACAGGAGGGCAGATTCATTGTCAACGGAGAAAAACAAGCTGGCAAGCAACTAACTTAAGTGACTGTGTGTCACACAGATGGGCTTGAGGGCTTTCTCTCTGAAAGAATAAGAAAAGACACATTTTAATACATCCATCTAGTGTTTTGTGACTCAAAACATTTGGAAACTACGTCACCAGTCTCCCTCAGAGATTGAATTATAGCTGCCGTGCCCAATTTAGACAGAGTATGTGTTGAGCAAAACTCTTCAATTTGCAAGTAACCAACACCTAGCTCAAGTTTATCTATGCTACAGTTGAAAAATTTTGGCACGTGGAAAGTCAGAAAAGATCTATCTACAAATAACCAAATATGCTCAGTCTCAAGCATCTGTGTGCTGACTTCAATGAATTTTCTCATGCATAAATCTGTATGGAAAAGACATGTGACTCTGACAAGGCCAAGCACAGGTAAGGAGCCATCTATGATTAAGAGAACTGGAATGTCAGATTGGGTCAGGATCTGAATCTCCTGAAAACTGGATTTTGTCAGATGCTGAAGGTTCTAGTGATGATTGTTTTATTATTCATTTACCCTCTTAATTGCTTGCCTAAAATGCTGAAATGTTACTTTGTTTTTTTTTTCATATCCCAGACTAACTAATAAATCATCAATTCTTAATATATAACAATTTTCACTATTGGTAGATTTAATACTCAAATTATGGCTGCTTAACAGTAACATGTAGACTCTACAAAGTAGTAACTTACACTGCTTTTACATAAAACTCTTGTATGTCCACACTGAAAACTGATGTGTGGCAATTGCCTCCCTGGTGAATTAATCTGAAAGACTCATTTGTACCTGTAACTCTGTTTTCTTACTCTCTACCTAAAGTGTGACATTTTGATGTTACTAATGACATACACTGAAGGGACGAAAGCAATGTAGGACAATGAGGACTAGCAAACATGACAGGTAGGAGTTGAAGTTTGTGTAAACCATTCCCTAAAATACTGTGTTGGAGGGAGGGGAAGAAAAATCCCCACCTTATATTATATCTCAAAACATCCAAAATAGAAAAAATATATAGTCTATATTTAAAAAAATCTCACCACACAATCAGAGTCAAGAGTCTCTACGTTTATATGTCATGAATGTCTATCATATAGGTTTTATATTCTTGGCTCCACATTAAACAATGAAGGAACCTATGTTAAAAAAAAAAAAGCAAGCAAAGTGCTGTCTTCCATAGGAAGCTTGAGATCTAATTCAGGGACAAGATCTGTCTTTATAATGTCAAGAGAAGATAATGATGTGTTTTGTTTTAAAATCTCCTGAGGGCTAGAGAGATGGCTAACCCTTGCAGAGAACCCAAGTTCAACTCACAACTGTCTGTAACTCCAGCTTCAGGGAATCTAATTCCATCTTGTGATCACTATGGACTCTGAGCATATATCTAAGTGCACATATATATAAATGCACATAAAAACTAATTAAAATCCAAACTTCATTGTCCAATGCAAGATAACTTGCTGGGCTGAAATATTGTTATTCTTGAAATACTGAGAATATTGTACAAATTTTTTTTTACATTACTTGACAGTTAGAATTATCCCCTTGTTAACAATAAAGAACGGTGTATATGGTACATGGAGATAGTGTGATAAGGGCTGCTGATGGCCAACAAATGATGTCAATCAGTCCAGTCACTGGGGTATAGACAGAGGCTTGAGCAGAGATAGAAGGTTCTTTAAATTAGAGGGAAATTATAAGTTTGATGGAAAGTGTCCATTGTGTATAAATCATTTGCAAGAACACCCAGACATAGACAGATTTCTTCCAAAGTGGCTCAGAGGAAAACTGTTGTCTTCTGCACAACCCTAGCCTTCTGACCTTGGCACTGGAGCTATGCTTTTGGAAGACTGGGTGAAACCATGCATATAAAAAAGCATGTTCTACAGTGGTGGGAATAAAAGCCGGCACCATTATTCTCACTCACGTAGAGCTCTATGTTCAAAACAGTTTTCAGAGAGCCACCAGCACAGGATCCCACCCCTATGAGAGATGCACTTGAATTTTGAATGACAGTAAGTCTTCCCATTCTGGCTTTTGCAAACGTTGTTAAAGAAAACCCTGATAGATTATTACTATTTTTA